GTTATTAGTCTTATCTATAATATCTGGTGATTTATCACCTTGAAGGTTATGTTATTAGTCTTATCTATAATATCTGGTGATTCATCACATTGAAGGCTATATTATTTGTCATAAAGTGCACGACTTTGTATATTTTATTGAACCAGTCATTAAAGACCATCTCACCTACATCAACAATCATCATTTAACAAAAAGATGTGTTGAGCATTTCTAAAATAAGCTTAAGAAACCAACAAAAAAAAGTGCTAAACATTTTAGTATAGCTAACCTAAAAGCTTTGGAAACCTCGTACAAAAAAAGCAGTCTTCGAATAACTAATGTGGAAAACCTAACACTATCAGTGAAGTGCTACTCAAACCTATTGCTAAGGGCCTAATTTCAATAATTATAAGTGAATCTAAAGGAAGAGTAATTGACTATACACAATTTTCTAATGATGCTGAAAAAATGAGAACAAAAAAATCATAATATGTAGAACAGCTTCTTATTGAGAGAATCAAAAAAAAGGAAATAATATAACCTTCAAGGTGATGAATCACTAGATATAGATATGACAAATAATATAACCTTCAAGGTAATGAATCACCAGATATTATAGAGTGGTGTTTGTTTGTACATTTCTTCACCACACCATGTACAACCAAGTACAACCATAGTTATATCTCATTTACAGTGGTGTTTGTTTGTACATTTCTTCACCGGTTGTACATGGTGTAAGTACAACCATAGTTATATCTCATTTCGTATCACACCCTTTCTCCTTTACTGTTGCTAATAAAGTTTGTTTGTTACCAGAGATAGTAGAAGAGCTGCTTTCTTCAATACGTTTCAGAAATTTGTTACTCTTGCACATATCACCTTGATCCAAAACTTTATCCTTCAGTTAATTCTCGCTTGTTCTGTCATTGATAGTCATTTATTTCAGCCCAGTGATCCATGTCCATAGCATGTAAATATTTTCCTTTAATTTGTTAAATATCGTAAAAGTTTGTATTATTTAAAAGTTGCATTATTATAAAATCAACTTCACCCTAATAAATAACAATAACTCGTATTATGCCTGAAAACAATGTACAACTTACAGTCAATTCAGGAAGAGTACTGTTGTGTTTTTTTTTTTTTAATTGTTTTTGGACAGCCTTAAAATAGTTGAGAAAATTTGTTTAAATACAGACATCTTGTGTGTATTGTGAACCGAGGTGTCTATTGAAGATTTGATATGTCTCCCGTTTGAAGTGATGGGAGAACAGGCATGAATAATGTTGATGCTTAATTTTATTTCCCAAGCAAGATATTCTACACTAAATTATTATGAATTAGTCACACTATCATTCACATTTTAAAATGTGATGAAACTTAAAGAATAAAAATAGATCTGCCATATATTATTGGACGGATCTTAACATGACTGAAATGCTCAATAATTACTTTTCTTGGTGGGGGGTACAAGTAGCTCAGAGCTTTGGCTCTCAATGGAACACAAGAGTGCGACACAATTAACCTATTAAAGTCCATGAAATAATTTAAATTGACAGATTAACTTAAACTTTTTCTGTCACTGAGGGCAAGTACTTCTGCTATATTAATTTAAACTTTTATCGTCACTGGGGATGGGTATTTTTGCTAGTGGTTATATAAACTCGAGTGTAACTTAATTTAATCTTAATTTGTCTTTGGTAAATTATTTCCTAAAGCTTCATAAAACCTTATATTGGAGAAAATGTTGCTATTAAAGTTTTGGTATTCAGTTTTCTTTTATTTTCCAGAGGAGGAATGGTTCAAACTGCTGAACAGTATGAATTTGTCCACCAGGCTCTTTGCATGTTTGTTAACAGCATTCCTAATGAAGCTGGAGACTGATTTCTGGTCACTCCATATTCAGCAAATTAGACACGTGCCCGAAGCTAATGAGTCCACATCATTCCAAGCAACAACTTTGATAATACCATTTCTACCACCGTGGTCGAGATCTGTAGCTGTGAAGGCTTCACCATAAGAACTGTTTACAGAACTAACTAAATGTTTTAGCTGAAATGCTGAGTGAAACATTCTACATTCATTGTTGTAATAATGTTAGTGGATGTGCTTGTTTAACTTGGAAATCGGTACACATTTTTTTTTGTCTGTCATATGAGTATTATTACTTTCTTTAGAATTATTGTACATGTAAGAAAACCTTTTGATAATCACACATTGTCATGTGATTTACTTGACTAAAAATTTTATTGATGTACTGTGTTGTTAGAGACTGGTGAGATAGCTTTTCTTAGGACTGCACTTGTATCACCATTGACCATTCGATTACTCGCTGTAAATTGTGGGAAAACATTGCAGAAAACAATTTAATATGGTTTTATATAAAATTACTTTGTATATGACTTTCTTTCTTTTTTTTATTGTTAATTTTCTGTTGTGAGGCCAAAATAAACCGACTCACCAGTTTTGACCCGTGTTGTACAATATGTTAGTTGCTGTAAAGACCTATCAGAAACATAGTATTTTATTCATATGTGGTAGCTTTTGTTTTACAATTATGTGTTTCATCTTGTGACTGGATGTCATTGTTGTGATGGAAAAATAGGTAGTAGGAACCTTGCACTAGCATTCGTACGTGTAGTCAAATGGATAAGGCCAAGCAAAGTGATTTTTTTGTTTACCTAACCAGTAATAGGACGGTAGTTTATAATTAATGCTGGTCTCACTAAATCTTTTTAAAACTTGAACAAGATGGAATACAATTGTTCTTGAATGATCTGATCTAGTAAGTAATAACTTTTCTGTACATTGTTATTCATTTCCAACAGTTATGGGAAGAGGATCAAAGAACTAGAAGTTTTTATCCATTAACTGATCAAGCATAACTTAGATCAACTTAGAATTAAACAAAATCAGTTGGTTCACATTTTTTACACTTTTATAAGAAATCACGAGTGTTTAAGTTGTAAGCTTCCTAAGGAACTTTGATATTGATTTTACAGATCTTTATCTCACTAAAATGTACACAGTATAGTGAAACTAGTGATGCTAAGTGCAAGCAATGCAAATGTTTTAAAGCATTTACTGCTAAAGTAAGATTCTCAGTTCTGCTGGAATAAGTTAGGGTTTTCTCTGACATAAACTTATCACAATAACTTGTTCATTTTTGGGGCCTTGTTACTAGTTATCTTTAAACTTTCTAGTACGTGTTTCCAATTGTGCTATTCAGCAAACGTGTAATTTCTTTTTCCTGTCGGTTTGGTTTGAATTCAGTACGTCTTTCACATCCATATACTTGAGGACAGTGCCCAACAATTCTAGCTGGTTGTTAAGTGATTTGAAGAGAATTCCAGGAAAATACGAAGGAGAAAAGGGTTAAATCTTTTACATTTAAACCATGAACTTCTGCAAATGGTTGTCGGATACCTTTGCTGAGAAGGAAAATTAACTGATGGAAACTTTGATTGGCTCTACTAGAGCCACACTGTATGTATGTAGAGTCACTGCATTCCTTAATTACATACTGAATATTTGGTTATGCTGCATGAACGGTTTAAGCTCCTTCAGTTGAAGTTCTGGAGTTTTAAAATGCTTTTAACTTTCATGAAGACATCATGCACCTGTTACTTTGATGTAACTGGAAATATTTATCATGGATCATGATAATATACTTTAAGGTTTCTCAAGGGAATCTTGATTAAAGCTATTATTTTTTTACATCTCTTGCAAGTTTCAACCACAGTATTTGATGAGTGATACCTTTTTCATGTTGACCATTCTTTTTTTCTATGCTGTCCATTCCTTTTTTTTTATCCATGATTTCAACATTCTAGAATCTGAGGTTCAAGACTACCATAATTTATTCTGAAGGATTTTACCATGAACCAAATGCTTCATCTCTTATAGCACAAAGGAAGTTGGGATTAATTGCTTGGAATAAAGCAATGTAAAATAACTGTGCTGACATATAGGATAAATTGTGATCGGGAATACCATCGATATATATATATATATATATATATATATATATATA